AATGAATGTTAACATATTGCAAATCCAAATACAAGGTTGGTGAAGTGTATTGCACAAAGGTCTACCAGCGTTAGAAGCCATGGGGATTGAACCATCAATATTTTATCAGCTTTGTTAAGTACAGATCAAACTAACACATTCACTCAAGATCAGAGAAGTGTCATGCTCAAAGAAAAAACTGCAGAAATCATTGAGCAGTGAGAATGTAGTTTCTGAATCATCACAAAGTCAAACCAACACATTCACCGAAACAGGACGTGTGAAGAGTCTTGCTCAAGTACACAATGACATCACTTATACTCAGTGTTGTAGAGTAACAGATTACATGTACCGGAGTTACATAATCAGAGTACAAATTATGAGTAACTGTATTCGGTTACAGTTACTGTTTCAGTGAGTGGTAATTGGATTACAGTTACTTTGTTAAAATAAAAGGATTACTCGGCGGTATTTTTCCTGTTTTCCTGTTTTCACATTTTGGGCCACTCATTGACGGAAACTATACCAGGTCTAAACTAGATCTAAACCAGGTCTAAAACCAGGACTAAACCATGACTAAAACCAGGACTAAACCAGGACTAAATCAGGTCTAAACCAGCAATAAACCAGGACTAAAACCAGAACTAAAACCAGGACTAAAGCAGGACTAAACCAGGTCTAAACCAGGTCTAAACCAGCAATAAACCAGGACTAAAACCAGAACTAAAACCAGGACTAAAGCAGGACTAAACCAGGACTAAACCAGGTCTAAACCAGCAATAAACCAGGACTAAAACTGGACTAAAGCAGGACTAAACCAGGTCTAAACCAGCAATAAACCAGGACTAAAACCAGGACTAAACCAGGTATAAACCAGCAATAAACCAGGACTAAAACCAGAACTAAAACCAGGACTAAAGCAGGACTAAACCAGGTCTAAACCAGCACTAAACCAGGACTAAAACTGGACTAAACCAGGACTAAACCAGGTCTAAACCAGACTAAACCAGGACTAAAACCAGAACTAAAACCAGGACTAAAGCAGGACTAAACCAGGCCTAAGACAGCACTAAACCAGGACTAAAACCAAACTAAACCAGGACTAAAACCAGGTCTAAACTTGATCTAAACTAGATCTAAACCTTGTCTAAAACAGGTCTAAAACCAGGACTAAACCAGGACTAAACCAGGACTAAACCGGGACTAAACCGGGACTAAACCGGGTCTAAACCATGTCTAAAACAGGATTTAACATCTTTTTTATTTTCTTTCAGCAGACAAAACATCTTATTTTACGATATTCTTGTCTTTGCTTCTCTACAGCAAATCAAGTAATCCAAAGTATTCAGATTACGTTACTCACTTTAAGTAATTTAATGGATTACGTTACAAACTACATTTTGGGGTATGTAATCTGTAATCTGTAGGGGAATACATTTTAAAAGTAACACTCCCAACGCTGCTTATACTCAGTCGTGGGGATTCCAAGCTTTTTTAGAAGTAGAAACTGTTACATGCCTACAGCTTTTCCAACCTAAAATTTCCAATTTCCAACCTAAAGGCTACGTTCAGACTGCAGCCTGAAGTGACCCAAATCCATTTTTTTCAGTCTGAGCAACACAGATCTGATTTTTTTTCAAATGCGACCCAGGCCACTTGGACATGTGCTCCTAAAACCGACACGTATCCGATCTTTTGACATGTGACTTCAGTCTGGACGGTCAGGTCACATTCATCCCACCTACACGTCATAACAACATGGAAACAAGCACCAATACAGCCAAACACCGACGCATTTGTCAAAGACGTGTTTCCTCCCGCTAGAGTGATACAAGTAAGCACTCACAAATGTACACAAACGTTCTTCTTCCCAAACAAAAATTGTGTCTGAACTCCATGTCAGTGAAGCCCCAAAGCTCATATCAATCCCACCACTCGATTGCGACTCAGCACCCACACGTTCCTTTCTACGGACGTTGCTGCCACTGTTCCAAAAAACCTCGTCCTTCTCAATCTCGTTCTTAAAACAAATAAGCTGTACATGTTCTGGCTCCGGTACGACAGCAACTTTAAAATCTCCTGGTGCTTAATGCTTAAACGACTTCCGTAAACACTGAGCCACTGAGTCCTCCAGCGCACATGCAGGACACTTTTGGGGAATTTAAAGGCAAGGCAAGTTTATTTGTATAGCACAATTCGTACACAAAGTAATTCAAAGTGCTTTACAGAATAAGAAATACATTAAAATCATAATAAAAACAAATCAAAACATAAATAATCATGAAGATTAAAATTAAAAAGAGAGACATAAATTGGATTGAAGAGTGCAGAATGAAAACCTTTCAGTTATATGCACAGTTAAACAGAAATGTTTTGAGCCTGGATTTAAACAGCGTCACAGAAGAGTCTGTCTCACATGTTCAGACTGTTCCAGGTTTTAGCTGCATGAACCTGAAACTCTGACTCCCCTTGTTTAGTTCTGACTCTGGGCACCAGCAGGAGGCCGGTCCCTGAGCTCCTCAGAGTGTGAGATGGTTCATATGACACTAACATGTCACAGATGGACTTTGGTGCTCGGCCATGGAGACACTTGTACAAGCAGAGCTGCTTTAAACTCTATTCTCTGAGGCACAGGAGCCAGTGCAGAGACCTGAGCACAGGACTTATGTGCTCGTACTTCCTAGTTCGAGTAAGGACCCGAGCTGCAGTGTTCTGGATGTTCTGCAGCGTCTCACAGCTCGTTTGAAGAGACCAGTGAGCAGAACATTACAGTAGTCTAACCTACTGGAGACAAACACATGGATAAGTTTCTCCAAGTCTGATTTAGACAATAAACCTTTGATTTTTGCTCTGTTTTTTAGATGGTAAAAGGCTGCAGATGTTATTGATTTGATGTGGCTGTTAAAGTTCAAGTCTGAGTTCATTATTACCCCTAGATTTCTTGCCTGATTTGAAGGTTTTAGAGAGAGAGACTGGAGGTGACTGCTGACACTGTCCCTTTGTTTCTGTGGACCAAACACTATGACTTCAGTCTTGTCAGAGTTTAGCTGGAGAAAGTTGTTTTGCATCCACACACTGATCTGTTGGATGCAGTGACCAAGAGAGTCCACTGGTCCATAGTCTCCTGCTGATCACACTGGAAATCACATACAAGTCTAACTTAATCGTAAATGTGAACAACTTCGCAAAAACTTCAGAATTCACAATTGAGCATTAAGCCCTGCAGTCTGAACGTAGCCAAAATGTCCTGAAAATGTTTATGCAACAAAGGCTTTGGGGTGAATCGTTCCGCAGTTCGACCCAGAAACTTCAAGAGTCACTGCTTTAAATCCGTCTACACTAAAACATGTTTATACAGCGTTTTTTTCTCCCTTCAAGGCCCTCGAAACAAACCAGACACTGAGGATGAGGTGGGTTTTTGTATTGCCAATGTGTTGAAATATTTAATTGTTTTCACTTCATCATTGTCCTAAAATTTCTGCAGCAGATTCTCGTGTTTTGGTTGGTTTGTGTTTTATCTCCGCTCACCACTCAGTCTGCGTGCATCTGTGTGTGTGTGTGCGCGCGCCTGTGTGTGTTTGTGTTTGTGCGTGATTATTGTAATGCTTTGTCTAGACTCTCCTCAGACACGTCCGACTGACACACTGACGATTCACAACAAACAAGTCTGAGCCAACAGATTTATTTGTGATGACAAGAAATGATGCACAATCACTGGGAGAAGAACAATCAATGCAAACTGTTGTCCTAGGGCAAGACACTACACCAGAGTGACCAGATGTCCCTGTTTACCCGGGACAGTCCCAGTTTTGCGCCCTTTGTCCCCAAAACCAGTGATTTGTCCAAGTTTTTTACAAGAAATATCACACGTATCCCTATTTTGATGCTCCCAAACCGTAAAAATTGCGATATATTGTCATTTGTTTAGCTAAAATACAGAAAACCATGCAGCGTTGTTCCACCTTGTGATGTCATGTGGTGATACCGGAAGTTCTCCACCATGTTTTTAAACTCCATACCTTCACTAGAATAATTTGAATCATTTTAGCCCTTGAACTGTCAGAGATGTAGACAGACTAATAAAAGATTGCTCATTAATGTATGAATGAAACAAAACACAACTCCAGGTATGTTTTTGATTAAATAACAGCATTATAAAGTGGGTCAAAGCATATAAGTGTAAATTTTGTGTAATATTGGACCTTTAAATATAAGATTGATAACTCCTGTGGTAAGATCTCTGTCTCTTGTCTTTATTTTTAATTATTTAGACTTTTTTTTCTTCTTTACAATAAGATTACTGGATATCATTACTGAATATGTAGTCTATATTTATTTATCATTGTCTACTGGTCTAGGATGACCAGATGTCCCTGTTTACCCTGGACAGTTCCAGTTTTGAGCCCTTTGTCCCAGTTTTATACAAGAAATGTTTCTATTTTTGACCAATTTGATCCTTGCAACAGTAAAGAGAGGCATACATTGGCATTTGTTTAGGTAAAATGCCGAAAAGCTGCTTAAAAATGACCAAAACATGAAGAAAATCTGACTATACTGACTCACATTAGTGCCGAGTGCGTAACACTTCTCCTTAATTCCTCATTTCACAATTTTATTATTGACAACCATCACAAACTGGGTGTGTCACAGTTTTGTTTTGTTTTTTTTTTTGAAAATCTGGTCACCCTATACTTGTCGGCAATTCTTAGCTGAAAAAAATTATAATCTAAAGTATTTCTGATTCTAATTTACGTATTTGCATTTTTACTTTCTATAGCCTGTGTGAAATGCTGTATTTTTGCCAGCAGAGGGCGCCAAACACAAGGATCTACAATAAAAACGCTTATTTTTTTTATTTTATTATAATTAATTTTATTATAGTTATTTTATTATATTAGATTTTATTAGATTCGATTTTATTATAGTTATATGGCAATAAATAAATAAAAACAATAAAAATAAATTAATAAATCCTCTAAAAGGATGTCCTTCTGCTAAAACGCTCCGACGCTTCACTTCCGCTCCTGTACAGTTCCAAAACACGCCACATGCCTCCTCTGCCGCTGTCACATTTCTACAAACTTCGCTAAAATGAGCGCCCAAAACAACGACGGGGATCTTTGCGTGACATTACGGAACCTTCTCAACTCCATCCAGTGCATTAGAGATAAAGTCAGAGGTAAAAATGCGCGAATTGTGGTCACGTTATCATTAGCGGTATTAGCAAGCTGCGTAATAATAATAACTGTGGCGTGTGTTGTTGTTGTTGTTGACAGATGGAGAATCAAACGAGGATGAAGCAGAGTTTAATCTTTCCAACTTCTGGGAAACGCTGAGTTAGTATTGTATTTTTATGTATTTTAAAGTGCCAGTTTATAGTCCATTTTGGTCTTGTCTAAACAGTGGCTCAGCTGGATATTTCCTCTATAAATCCAAATTACACTGTTCAAAGTTCACTAAAACCAGTGTTCTGTCATTTTGTCCTTTCACTTTCCAATCTTACCTGAGAGAAGCGATTGAGAAGCAGCGTTTAAAGGGCTCATACTAAACTATTTTCTGATCTGTGTTATGTAGGGTGACCAGACGTCTCTATTTACCCAGTTTTGAGCTCTGTGTCTCTTATCCCAGCAGATTTATCCAAAACCAGTGATTTATCCCAATTTTATATAAGAAATATTCCACGTGTCCCTATTTTTGTCTAATCTGATACCTGCCAGCAGTAAAAAGAGGCATAAATGTATAATTCATTTAAGTAAAATACAGAAAATCTGCTTAAAAATGACCAAAACACAAAGAAAATGTGATTATGCTGACTCATGTTTGTCATGACTTGGCTGAGTGCACAACAGTTTTCCTTAATTGCGCACTCGTTTCACAATTTTATTATTACCAACAGACCAAAAAAACGAGAGTCCCAGTTTTTGATTTTGAAATTCTGGTTACACTAATGTTATAATGCTGTTTCCTCATCACAAACAGACCTGGAATGTTTTGTTTCTTTCACATATTTTTAAAACACAAACCCTGCATATTTAACACTCCACCTTGTGATGTCATGTGGTAATACGGGAAGTCCTCCACCGTGTTTTTAAACTCCACACATCTTACATCTTCACTAGAATGATTTAAATAATTTCAGCCATGAATTCCCAATTTCTACTGAACAAAATGTAAAAGGAGCTTCATCACAAAATGCCTTAAAAAGGTCTTAAATTTCATGTTCTGAAATTAAGGCCTTAAAAATTCTTAAATTATGTTGTACAAGTCTTATTTTTTCAGTGCAATGTTTAATGGAGGGAGGAAAATAAAACAACAACAATGTGAAATCATGTAATGTGAATGAACATCTTATTTGGAGTACACACAAACAGTACTTTGGTGTCTGGCGCCGGCGGCAATGAGTGAACAATGAGTACAGTGGAAGAAGACGTTGGATGGATCATGGGGAAGTGTAGGATTAATCCACAGTGACTCTTAGATTCTAGATATAGTAGTTGGTTGGTCATTATTAGAATTGGAACTGGTGTTTTTCGCCCGAATAATGGGTGCAATATTGGTCTTAATATTCATTTAAGTGGCCTTAACAAAGTCTTAAATTTGGGGTAGTCAAACCTGGGGATACCCTGAGGTGGAACAGAGCATTTTGAGCTTTGGAAATGTAGACAGAGTAATAAATATACTCAGACAGGTGTGAATGAAACAAAATACAACTCCATATATGTTTTTGAGGAGGAAACAACATTATAACATGACTTAAAGCTCACAAGAGTCAATTTTGCGTAACATAAAACCTTTAATATTATAAAAGTGCTTTCCAAAAACACTTTGTAGTTGGATGGTACGGTACCTGCTTGTCATGAAGATGTTATTGCTTTGCCTGGAATCTTCCACAGTACAGCAAAAAAAAAATCTGTCTCCATGGTGACACAACCAGGCTAAGAAGTTACAGGTCAGATCAATGGAGAGGCAGGTCTGCTCACTGTAAGAATGCATGTTTTTTTGCAGTATTTGAGAGACGTTTTGTTGATATGTTTTATGCCATACTGTAGAACCTTTCTGGCAAAGCAACAACATCTCTATCAGGTGGCAACTGCTCCACCAGAAAACTTACATAGTGCAGCTTTTTAATATTGCAACTTAACTTATATTCTTTTCTCCTTAGATCAAGCAGTGAAAGCAGTGTCTCAAGAAGCCACCAAGCTCAGTCTGGCCTATTCCAGACCTCCACTGCCCTCAGCACAGGTAAGCATTTTTGTCATTCATCCTCTACAGTGTTTTTTTAATAAGAAATGAGAAAACTAATACTTTCTTTTTTTAATTTCAGGATGGAGAGAAGATTTCAGACTCCATTTTGAAAAGTGTCCTCGCTTTGTCCACCGTCTATTACTGGCTTCCCAAGAGTCAAGGTAAAAGAGATTTTTATTCACTTCACACTGCAGTTTGGTACATCGTAATATTTAATAATGAAGAAGATGCCAAATTTTGGTACTAAATATCCGTACCCACATCACTCTAAAATTAATAAAGTTTAAAGTTATTGGTCGTTTTCTGGTGGAGGGTCCGTCAAATGCTTTTCTTCATGGAGATGTTATTGCATGTCTGGAATGTTTCACAATATGGCATTAAACCATTTTGTATTGTACGTTTATTTTATTAAGGAAAAGCCTGTGAGTCACCTCGTTTTTGAGGGGGATTTTATCTTCATGGAAACTAAACCAGACCGAGTTATGGGTCAGCTCTGTAGAGAGGTGACCCCGCTCACACTCAGAATGCCTGTTTTTCTAGGTATTTTTGAGCTGCCAAACCACTTGACATGACGTCTCTATAGAAACAAGCAACCAAAAATTTACACAGCAGTGCACCTTTAAGTTCTGTAGAGGCAAAATTGTGGAATATGAATTTTTAATAATACAGATTCTTGCTGATTCCAGGTGTGACTCTGAGGCGGCAGGTCAGAGACGCCACAGTGGACGTTTTAGAAGGACTCACTCAGCTCTTAGACGTCATCATCAGTACACCGCTGGAGAGGTACATACACAAAATGATCAAATATTTAACTGTTACCTAGCAACCATAACAATAACAAGGACCAAAACTCATCTAAATTACACAACCATGTAATGTGTCCATACTGGCTTGTCAAAGCCTGATCCCGTCAGATCTCAGAAGCTCAGCAGGGCCTGGTTAGTACTTGGATGGGAGACACTGGGAAATTCAGGTGCCACAGGGGGGCGCCAGTCACAAAACTGTCATTGTGTACTTAGGCAAGACACTTCACCCACATTGCCTAGTATGAAAGTGGTGTGTGTGTGAGTGATGGTGGTGGTCGGAGGGTCTGATGGCGCAGATTGGCATGGCAGCCGCTCTTCCATCAGTCTGCCCAACAGGGCAGCGGTGGCTACAATAGTAGTTTACCATCACCGGGTGTGGAGTGAATGAATAATGCTGAATAATGCTCTGTAAAGTGTCTTTGTGACAAATATCTGTGAAAAGCGCTATATAAATAAAGACTTACTTACTGACTTACAACAGTTACACAACAGCTATGATTAGACAAATACAAATAAACAGTGGCTGTTTTATTTGGCTAAATGAAGATTTGATGTGTCATAAAAATCCTTTCCTTGTGCATAAATTGTCTCTTCTTTCTGGATGGAATTTTTGAGTTATGGGTATTGATGTTATAATTTAGTATTTACAAATTTGTACAGATGTCTTTCTGTTGATATAAAGTTGTAATGGAAGATACACAGTAAAAAAAATATATCAAAAAATTCAAAAAGACAGAAAAAAGAACATTTTGAAGGGTTTTCAACATCAAAGAATGAAAAATAAATAAAAAAGTAAACATATACTGGCAAAGTTATGTCCGTAAAAGAGCCATTTTGAATGGAAGACAATCAAACAAAAAGGACCAGGGGTGTGAGTATTTTGATTAAAGACTGTTCAAAAACACATAACTTAAAAATACTTGACAAAATACACAAACTGGCCAATTTGCATGCTTTTTGGTGCAATATAGTCAAAGTTATGCAAAAAATAAAAGTAGCGACATACAAAAATGTACCTGCAGGAGGGTTAAGAACAATCAACCAGTTATGCAGTTGGCAATGTTGCAATGTTAAAAAAAACTCTCAATACTTAATCCAAGTTTTGTTCTTTAGTTTGAGCCAGGACCAGCTGACCTCTACAGGGACGGTGTGGTCGGCCTGTGATCGCTTCGACTCCCTGCCTAAAGGTTTGTACTGTTTTTAGGTTTAAGTATGAAGTATTTGGATGTATTCAAATATTAGACTTCTGTATTTCTGTTGGATGTTTTCTCAGATAACAAAGCAGCTCTGTTGGTGGTCATATCTGGAGAGGTGGGAGTCATCAAAGATGCTATCGAAGAAATTGAAGAGGTAGATTTCCTTCTTTTGACTTTTAACCTTATCCTGAAATTCTGAGCAGAAACTAGCTCCATCTCCAGTTTAAGCCTCAACTTGTTCCATGACAGAAATAAACCTGAGTCTGACCAAAGATAATTCAGGCCTGAAGTTTAAGCTGCTCTTTGTGCTCGCGGTGACTACGGGAAGGCCAGAGCAGTGGAGCGATGACATCACAGAAAATGGGCTCAAAGTGTGACTTTTTTAAATGATCTGACTAAACGAGAGAGGAACCACAGCGCGCAATCACAGAGTTTGAATTGGGCCATGGAACTTTTCCGTTCATTCTGATCTTAGGAGCGAGAGGAAAGACACGACTGCCTCCGGAGGTAGAGAGGAGGCTGGCTGCAGAGTGTGGACTTTGGGGCCTCGTTAATGCGGGCTGCCCCTTACCAATGCGCGGTAGTACGTAGAGATTCTGCTGTGTGTAAAAGTAAAACTATAACAGAACTCTTCACATGTATCTTAGAAGAAACTATAAAATCTGGGCCGACGTGTTTGCAGTTTGACAGGGAGCGAGAGACGAGGGGATGAAAAGGGAGAGACAGACGCGGTGAAGGAGCGAACAGACAGAACCTGCTGAAAACCAGTTCATCCTCATCCTTCAAAAAAAAAAAAGTCTCATCAACCAAAGATTTTGCGACTCCTCCCTGCAGTACCTCCAAGACACCCCTAGGGGTCGCAAGCCCCCTGTTGAAGACCTCTGTTCTAGACAAAACAATAACATCTCCATGGGGATAAGCAGATGGCAGACCCTTCACTAGAAATATTCCGCAGTGTACCTTTAAATGCTAAATGACTGTCAGTTTTAACCTGGTTTAAATGGCTTTCCTCATAGGGCCACTAGGTGGAGTCATTGCACCTTAAACTCGCTGTACCTGATTTTTGTGAACACATTTCTTTGATCTACCTAGTTTTATCTTTGTGCTTCTTCAAACAACAACTAAGCATACAAACTAAAAAAAAAAAAGAAAGAAAACTAGCATTCTAATAGTGCACTAGCCTTACTTACTGGTTCATAGAAAATAAAACTGCTTTATTTTGACCTTTATTTTGTTTTATTTTGGCCCTTTGACCTCGTTTTTACAACATGTCTGACACATTTTTACTTTAGTTCATGAGAAAATTTAGTACAGCCCTTTTTTATCGGTTAACAAAAATATTTTAATTATTGCAGTGTTATGTTTCATCTGTGCAAACCGTAAACACAGATCCAACCTCTGTTCTCTCAGGCTCTGTCCGAAGCCCAGGACCCTTTTGGCGACATCCTGGATGACGTGATCGAGGGGGCGGAGCCTCGGGGAAACCAGGACACGTACTGGTCGGAGCAGGACCGGCGCGTGATCGGCCCGTGCCAGGGTCTGATGAAGGCGTCCGCGGCGTGTCTGAGGAAGCTGACGGCGGCGGTGAGGTCGAACGCGGACGTGAACGGCGCTCAGAGCCTGGCCCAGCTCGACGACCTCGCGGACGTCTCCAAAGACATCAGCCCGGGGTAAAGAAACGTCATTTTACAGATCGTTTTTAAAGTGTTTGTAGAAATTAGGGGTGGTACGAGATAGAATTTACACAAAACGAGGCACGAGACACGAGATTGGTTCAACGAAAAAAGATGAGATTTTGACACTGTTTATCAATTCAGTTCCTAATTGTGGGGTCACCATTTTTTATTTACTTTAATATTTTTGCTGTCATTGTAAGAAATCAAAAAATATGACTCGCCAGTACTTCAAGGTAACTATTTTAGTTTCACGAGTTTTTTTTGTTGTTGTTGTTGTTTTTTTGTTTTTGTTTTTTTTTTTGTTTTTTGTAACTTTTTTTTTTTTTTTAACTTTTTTTTTTTTTTTGTAAATTTTTTTTTTTTGTAACTTTTTTTTTTTTTTTTTTTGTAACTTTTTGTTGTTAAATTTCTTTTGGCATTAAATTTTTCTGAATGGAAACCAAACCAGACCAAGTTACAGGTCAGATCTGCGGAGAGTCAACCCCGCTCAGTCAGAATGTCTATTTTTTTTTGAGTTATAAAACCACCTGTAATTGAATAAATGTAAGGTAGAGCTGTTTAATGCCATACTGTGGAACATTCCTGGCAGAGAAACAAGAAACAAGCAGGTTAACGGACCCTCCACCAGAAAAATTACATAATGCACATGTAGCTCTGCACAGGTGTGGTCTGGTGAGGGCAGTTTGGGTTAGATACATAGAAATACGCAATAGTTTTACTTTTGTGTAATTCATTTCACTAGTACTCAAATAAAAAAAACACATTTGCAATCTTGAAAAAAGACTAGAAAAATCTTCATTGTGTAGGTCTATTTAGATATTTTGGCTGCATTTTTTTTCTTGTTTAATTTTGTCCATATTAAAGTAACATTACTTAACACTTCTTTCCCATCTTTATGCTTGCATATAGTAGGATAATGAATGTAAAATGGTAAAATGTGCTTGTTTATTTTGTGTGCAGCGTGGATGACCTGGCCCTGTGTCTCTATCCTCCCATGGACTACAACGGAGTCGAGAACAATGCAAGTCACACACACAGTTTTTCATTTTACACATTATAAATATGTCCACACAAACTAACACCTGTAATGTTCTGACCCACAGGCGTCTAAACTGGCTTCAATCTTAAAGAAGGTCCTTAACATTATCAGGTAACATGATCTTTTTGTACTTTTTGAGATTATTTGCGTCAAGTATTGTTTTGAAATATGACAGACGGTGCAGAAGTCACCCAGTAAAGAGGGATTAGTGATGCTACATTATCATATTTTAGTGCAACAATGACTATGAGAAGAAAGAGAGAAAGTCTGACCAAACAGTATTGAAATCTTAAATTTTCTTAAAGAATTTTGCTGTTGTTTGGTCATGGAGCCAATAATCGTGAAATACTGATGTCAAATTTGATATTGTGATCCATATTCTTCTCTCAATCTACAAGAATTCAATGAATAAGTCATTTTTGTAGTTTATGATAAAACACTACTGCAGATTTGTACTCTGCTGCCCTCTGCTGGTCTTAATGTAAAAAAAAACAAAAAACTGACTTTTATGACTAAGTGTGCTATAAAGTTGCAGTTTTATTCTCGTTACTTTTTCATTATTTTTATGAAGCTCCTCTTAGTTTCTTTACTCAATAATGTGCCTAGTGCAGAGTTTCTCAAATTGTGGTGCGCTGGTCCCTCTGCAGTTTGAGTATTTGCTCTATTAGAGACTTTTTTTTTTTTCTTTCTTTCTTTAGGCTCATTATTTAGAACAACTTGATCCATTGTTTTGTAAAATTTTTTTTGGAAGCCCATTTCTGCCAGTAAGTACTAAATAAAAGTCTCACAGAAAGTCATAATTATGAGTTTTAAAGTTATAATTATGAATTTTAAAGTCATAATTATGAGTTTTAAAGTCATGATTATCACTTTTCAACTCAGAATTATTACTTTAAAACTCATAATTATGAGTTTAAATATCATAATTATGAGTTAAAACTTGTAATCGTGACTTTTAAACTCATAATTATGACTTTCTGTGAGGCTTTTATTTTGTATTTACTGGCAGAAATGTGCTTCTGTACATTTTACACCAGGTTTAGTCCTAATTAAAACCTGATAAAGTCCAGGTTTAGATCTGGTGAAAGCTAAATAGTAGGGATGTAACGATATCCAAATCTCTCGGTACGATATTATCACGATATACATCTCACGGTACGATATTTTGGAGAGGCTGATATAATTGTAGATAGGACATGTTTCTTCTTTTAAAATACGTTGACAAGATTTTGGTGTGAATTATTTCCATCATAATCCCAAGAATTCAAGTAAAAAACATATTTCTTTATGTTTTTTGTGTTGAAATGAATCATGGGATATGTAGTTCCCAATGTTCATAAGCTGTTGCTACTATAAAACCATGTATTTACGCAAAGGAACTTGTGATTCAATATATTGTGACAGCCCACGTTGTTATTTTGAGACTTTTGACGATACGATATCACGATATTTTGGTTATTGTTACATCCCTACTAAATTGTATTGTAGGTGGTACTTGTGTGAAAAGTTGTAATAGTGATAGTGATCTACTTTCTGCTCATGTCCATATCCATGTTACTGTGTTATTCAGGTCGAGTCACGTCTGCGGAGAGGCGGAGCTGACCTGGGTGCAGTTTTTGGACAACGCCGTGGACCACAACCTGCAGAAAGCCAGAGACCTCATGCACCAGGACACATAGGACTGCGATTACAAATATGGACTTTAATCTGTTCTAAATATGTAACAAAAATATATATATATCGCTTAACAAATTGTGCTCATGGGCTCCAAGGCTCTGTACAAAAGTGTGATTAAAAACGCCTCTTAGTATTTTTATTCTGGGCTTTTTTTTATTTCTCAGATCTTCTTGTTTCTATTGATACGTCATTGCTTTGCTTCGGATGTTCCTCAGTATGGCATTATGGTTTTATAGCTCAAAAATACCTACAAAAACAAGCATTCTGACTGAGTGGGGTCACCTCTCCACTGATATGACCTGTAACTTGACCTGGTTTGGTGTCCATGATGATAGAAAGGTTTAATGCCACACTGTGAAACTTTCCAGACAGAGCAATCCATGTAAAAAAGCATTTTCAACATGTTTTTTTGTTTCATGTAGATTTTAATTTTATATTTTTGATTCATTTTTGATATTTTGGTTGGTCAGAAGTTATTTATTCTATTACTATGGGATCTTTAGGCAACCACAGTAGCCAAAAAATGTACTCAAAGACTTGATATGTCTGTAATTGGAAGGATAAAAACTAAATCAAAATCTGGTGTTCTCAAAAGATGGCCACAAAAATTAGAAAAAAAAAAAAAATCCAAATCCACTTTATTTATAAGCACATTTTACAAACAAAGCAGTTTTCAATGAAGACAACTAAAGGTAAAATGCAAAAATTTGGTCGTACCAGTCCTAAAACAATAAAATCAGTCAAATCAAATAAAAGCAAAACCATTAAAAACATAAAATAGCAGTAAATAAGTAAAATAAATCAAATAAATGTTTTTTTCGTTCCAGTTAAAAAGTGTACAGCGAAACTTTGGACCAACTATGAGTGACAAAGGAGAGAAACGCGTGCGTGACCTGTTTAAATGATTTAAACGATAAAAAAAAATATTTAATTTTAGATAAAAGCCTTCACTTGTTTGTCAGATGAAAAATTAGTGTCAATAGCAACGGCAAGGTTGGTGACGGACTATTTCACGTGCAGTTTCAGTGGGTCAGTGAAAGCGTCGGTGTCTTTCCGCCTGAGTCTCTGCCCCCCCAGAGCATCTCCTGAGTCTCTCCCCCGAGTCTCTGCTCCTTGTCTCTGCCCCAGAGCATTTGAGCTCTGAGTATCAGCCCCTAGTCTCTCCCCAGACTCTCTCCGTCTCGTCTCTGCCCCCGAGAGCATTTGAACTCTGAGTATCAAGAAATACAAGTTAGATACATATCAAAGCAGAATGACACTTGTTGAGGACAACTAAGACAAACCAGAGTTTCCTGTAGGGTGTGGACAGTTGTGTTTTCAGAGTCTTTATACATGTTAATGACAGGTCTGGGTCCCAGGTAGAAATCACATTCATTTACACAAAGACAGACTGAGAAAAATCTTTCCACAATCACACTTCCTCTGAACAAGCAACAAAACTGTAGCGCTGTAACAAAATAGTTTAGTAAAATATGACCAAAAATACTCTTGGTGATATATTGATACAGCACTCCCTGATATCGATACTGTATTATTTATTTTATTTTAATTTATTTATTTATTTAATAGGGACAGTGCAGCGTAAATATGCCAGATTATAGCAAGAATGCTCATTTCCATCTGTCGTCCCTCGGCAGGTGACACCACAAATTTAACAAAGAAAAAAACAACAAAAACAAGCGACACTTCTAAACTAAACATGTCCACAAGTCTGGTTTTCCTTCAGCCACTGTTTCAAGTGGGATTTGAAAGTGACAAGTGTTGGAGTCTCTCTTATTGATAGTGGGAGACCGATCATCACATTAAACGATATCGATATTTCAATATTTTTGCACACTCCAAGTACAGTATGTGGTAGAGTTGGTTTAAATGAGGCGTTACTCAAATAAGACTCAGTACTTTTACTTTGTACACTATATTACTCAAGTAACCAAAACTAACTCAAGACTATGGTAACAGTGTCAAATATATTACTGATTATGTGGATTTGTATGGATGTGTATGGATGTGTATGACAGAATGTTCAGAAGTCAAATGAATCAGAAAGTGCACCAAAGTTCTTGTTGAGGTGCAAATGCAAAGAACAGTAAAATAAAAGTGAAAAAAGGCATTGAACATTCAAATGGCCGATGTCCAAAAGCTTTCAAAAAAAAATTTAAATAATGTTTCAGCAAAAAACGCCTTTGTCAGATCTTTTTTGTTTTGGACCACAGTACACAAAATGTAAAAGTATTCTGCATTTCTGGTTGGAGAGACATCTTGTACTTTTTTCGATGATGTTTACAGGATGCCATTTTGTGTACTGTGGTCCAAAGCAAGAAAAATGTTCTGATGAAGCCTTTTTTGCTGAATCATTCAATCTAATCCAATCCACTTTATTTCTATAGCACATTTCACAAACAAACAGATTCCAAAGTGCTGCACAAATACACAACTATAACAACAACAACAAAAATGATAAAACTACTAAAATAATCATTCTAGAACCAAAATAATAAAACCAGTAAAATAAAATAAGAGCAAATTCATAGAATAGCAATAAATAAATAAAACCAATAAAAATACATTAAAAAAAATAAATAAAAAGGTGTTAAAAGCTAGAGAATAAAAGTGAGTCTTAAGATGAGACTTAAAACACTGTTCGGACATGGAGGGACAGAGCGTTCCAGAGCTTAGGGCCGGTCACAGAGAAGGTCCAGTCCCCTCTGGTTTTAAGTCTTGTCTTAGGCACCAAAAGCTGGATCTGACCCTCAGACCTCAGAGCGCGTGCAGGGGTATAAATTTGGAGGAGGTCTGAGATGTATTGTTGGCCCAGTTCATTCAAAGCTTGAAAAACAAAGCAATAAAATCTTAAAATCAGTTCTAAAATGAACAGGAAGCCAGTGCAAAGACACAAGGACCGGGGTTATGAGGTTATTTAATAATAAAAACACAATGCACACATTAGCTATGAGCAAAGTTGGCCAAAAAAGTTTTAAAAGTCTGAACCTCAAGAAAAAAATACAAAATGGATTTAAACTGCACATTTTCAGGAGCCTGTGATCAATACGAGTTCCTGGTACTGTTTAGGCGTTTGAGTTTCAACAGAAAGGTGACAGTGACTAACTGTAAATCTGTTGGTAAATTCTTGCCAACTTGTGACTAATTTTGTGCATGAGAGTCTTGTTTCAAATCACAAATCATCTCACCTGTTGTAGTTCCTGCTTAGTCAGCTCTTTCTGGTCAGACTGTGTTAAATTAAAGTGCAAATTAAAGTCTAACTTGAGTGACAGATCTTCAGACAGAGCAGTGTCCACATTCACATCACACCCCCAAAGAATGTCGATGACACCAGCCGCAAAGCATCAGTTAAATAATAAAGGATTTCTCAAACGGTAAACATGTCTGTTTTTGAAGAGGTAACAACATCAAAACATGACTTAAAGCTCACAAAAGTCAATTTTGAGTAATAGAAGACCTTTAAGATTTAAATGTGATAAATCTGTGTATATTTACAAACTATTGGATAAGAGATAGAGTGACTAGATTTAAAAAATTCTACACTGGGACACACTCGGGTTAGGATGTTTGTACAAATAAAATTGTGAAAAGAGCGTGAAACATTGTGCATTCTCGTGTCAGTCATAATCTGAGGAACTTCTGACGCTGCTTTTTTTTTGCTTTATGGTCATTCCCAAACACAGATTTATGTATTTTGTCTAAACAAATGACAATTGATGCTTCTTTTACTGTTGGCAGGGATCAGATCTTAAAAAATTTGTGCTATTCTGTTTTAAGCAGGGCGTCCACTGTGAGATTTTTTGCCCTTTTTGAGACGATTTTTCACTTGTGCAACTGTTTTGAGGATTGAGTTTTCGCTTAATCAAGTGTCGTGCTTCATGTAGTAAACATGGGGTAACGAGAACCGATTAATACCTCACGACCAGCTCCCGATCAGCAGCTGTAGGTCACAAGAATATCAAACCTGTTTGAAATCCAGTCGCCTCTCGTGAGGGTTTCACACTGTTGAAGTCGTTCGTTTAGTATGAGAACAGGAATCGTGAGCTGTGAACTTTTAAGCCCTTCGATTTGGTCGTACAGTTTGAGCTGGGGCTGAGTGAAAGCATTAGTCCAGCATTAGTACTGGTTTAGAGATGATGTAGTCCTGGTTTAGTCTTAGTTTAGTCCTGGTTTAGACCTGGATTAGACCATTTCTTGTATAAAACTGGGACAAATCACTGGTTTTGTATAAATCTGCTGGGACAGGCGACACCGGGCTCCATACTGGGACTGTCCCGGGTAAAAAGGGACGTCTGGTCACTCTGCATAACAATGCTGAAAAAACATGTATTTAACTCCGTGAGAGCAGATGGCCCCACAAGACCAAGTTACTGGTCAGATCTGAGGAGAGGTGACCCTGCCCATAGTAAGAATGCACATGCTTTTCAAACCTGATATTTCGATCTCACTGGGGAGGTTCTATATGTGTGTTTTTGGCATTAGCAAAGACAGCCAAAAAGTTTGAAAAGCCTGAACCTCAAGAAAAAAAAAACACACAAATGGCTTTAAACGACACATTCTCAGGAGCCTGTGATCAATACGAGCGTCTATGGTCCTGTATAGGAGTTTGATTTTCAACACAAAGGTGACTGATTTATGCGTGACAGACTAAATCAGCTCTTTCTGGTCAGACTGTGTTGAAACAAAAGTCAGATTAAAGTCTAACTTGAGTAACAGTTCAGACACATTAGATCACACCCCCGGAGAATGTCGATGACACCAGCCGCAAAGTATCAATTAATTAAATGCCAGTTCTGCTGTGAACCTTTAAATATCTACATCTTCCACCCCAGCTTTAAAATAATCAAAAATAAAATAAGGTTTGGTGAATAAAGTGAGATTAGTAAGTGGTTATATTAGGGTGACCAGACGTTCCTATTAACCCGGGACATTCCCAGTTTGGAGCCCTGTGTCCCCTGTCCCAGCAGATTTAAACAAAACCGGTGATTTGTCCCATTTGTTTTATACAAGAAATGTGCCATGTGTCTCTATTTTTGACCAATCAGGCATAAATTATCATTTGTTGAGGTAAAATAAAGAAAAGCTGCTTAAAAATGACCAAAACACAAAGAAAATAAGACTATACTGACTCACATGTTA